CTTCTACCTTCTCCAATCGTCCATCCTCTTCTTTCTTTCTTCCCTTCTCCTATGCATCCTCTTTCATCAAACCCAACAGATTTGGATTCAAGAACCCCCTCAGATATGGGTTCGCATGGAACCTAGATGAATTGGGTTCAAATGAACCCAAATCTGGGTTTCTTCGAACGTTCTAGGTTTGTAGAAACCTTGATTTCTGGATTTTTGAACCCAGATTTTTGAGTTTTCGAAATCCAGATGTGTGGGTTTATTTGAACCCAGATTTTGGGTTTTCCAATGGGTGCCTTTATTGCTGTTGCATTGCCATAGAAGAACTTCGCAGCACCGAATTCATTGTTTCGTTTGGATTTTGAAATGGGATTTTTGGATTTTGTTTGTTTAGGTTCTCTGATTTTCCCTCAAATTATATTGTCTATTATGCCATGTGCTTTTGGAATCATTAGAGAAGTTTTCTGCCAGAGAAGTGCCAAAAAGAAGTGAACACTATATATATATTTTGGGCCGAACCAATGAGTTAAAATTGATGATAAGTTTGTTGCGAATAGGTTTAGCATAATGTCATGCATTTAAGCTCTGACAAGGATGCGTTTAACCTACAGTTTGTTGCAACCCTTGTAATCGTTGGGTTCTTTGAATGAAAGTTCAATTTTTTTTCCTTTTTTAGGGAAATTAATTAATTAATTAATTAATTATGATATAGGATAATTTTTATATAATTTTTATAAGTTATTAAATAAATAAATATATTTAATATTATAAATTTTAAATAAATAAATAAAATAAATTATTTAAATGATAGGTACAATTAAAAAGTTTATATAAAAATTTATATAGACGGTTAATTTTGAATGCCATTAAGTGGGTTCCATTTTTAACCTATCCTAAGTAAGCGGCATCCGTTTTAGTCCCCTAGTTGCAATATTTATGTCATTAAAATGAATAGAAAAAAAATGTCACTGTAGATTAAGTTAAGGGCCTAATTGCACTCCAAAATGGTACAGTTAGAGTCAAGAGACTAAAAAAGGTATTTAAAATAGTTAAAGAATTAAAATTATATAAACCCTTAAAGCTAAGGGATTGAAATTGGTATTTAATCTTTTTCATATTATTAATTCCTCTATTTTTAAATAATTCTAGTTTTGTAATGGATTTAGACCTAATTAAAACTAAATCCATTGGTGTCATTTTGAAAAGACAAAAGAGTAATAAAAGGGAGAATGAAAATTCGGAATTAATGGTATGATTTATATTATATCATTAAATTAGTTAATGAAAATAATATCATAAGTTTAAAAAAAAATAAAATGAGTTAATTATTAAATAATATATAGTTTATTTTTTAATATTTTAAATGATATGTCTTATGGCATATCATTGATATCAAATTTAGATCCCAAATCCTTAGCCTATTTATCATTAATTTTTTTAAAATATCACACTTTTCCTTAGATTTAATAAGTCTAATTTTTCAATAAAATGAAAATGTAATAATTAATTAATAAAATTTTATTTTCTGTATTTATTTTTAATTAATCACCACTTATTACTGGCTTATGGAATACTTTCAAAAAGGATTTTAGTTTTTTCCTTCCTTTACTTCAGATGATTGATTCATCTTTTTTCATTTCATTATTTTATCTGCTCGTTGTTCCCATTTCAGCTGATGGGAAGCCAAGAATAGATCTCATTATCAGCCTCACAACTGTTTCTTGTATCATCATCTTGGGTGCCTTAGTCTATGGTTTATGCTAGCAGAGATAAAAAAAAATTGGTAAGAAACTGATCTTGAATCTCGATACTTGGTTTGTATAATTGGATAGTTTTACTCAGTTTTTGGATAGAATACCATTCACTTTGATCCTGCCAAAGCAAGGTCCATAATGAACTAGTAATTTGGTGGAGATTCTTTTTCTATAACAATTCTAGGATATTTGTAGGAAACAATAATTGTCCTACTGATCAATTTCGGAAATAATTTTCTGGATGACTAGATTCTTAACCTAGTATGGGGCGAGAACCACTGATTGCTCATTTATGACTCCTGAGCTAAAAGCCATGAGGGTAAAATGTCAAATCACTTGAATATAACAATACAAGACTGCTGTGGAGTGAATACCTTATAGATATGCAAGAGTTCTCCAGTGGTGGGGAAGATCTTTTCATTTGTCTTGTGTCGTTAGAATTAGGTGACAATATAATTGACTTAAGCAATATTTTCAAACTGGATTTAGTTTTTTCTCGATTCTTTTCTTTTCACTTCAGAATGACTCATTCTTCTTTATTCATTTCATTATTCTATCTCTTCCTTTTTCCCCTTCAGTATTTTTAGCTCACAGGAAGCTAAGAGTAGATCTCATTATCAGTCTCACAACGGTTTCTTGTATCATTATCTTGGGTACCTTAGTCTATGGTTTATGCTGGCAGAGATCAAAAACAATTGGTAAGAAACTGATTTTGAATCTTTTCATTTCAGATAAATCTTCCCAACTATTGGTTAATTTCATGACTGACATCTACTTTCTTCCATTTTTTTGGTTTGTATAAATGGAAATTTTTACTCAGCTTTTGGATAGAATGCCATTAACTTGGGTCCTGCCAAAGCAAGATCCAGGATGAACTAGTCATTTGGTCGAGATTCTTTTTCTATAGCAATTGTAGGATTTATAGGAAACAATAAGTGTCCCAAAGATCAATCTTAGAAATAATTTTCTTGATGACTAGATTATATCGGGCGATAGCCACTGATTGCTTCTTTATGACTTTTGAGCTAAAAGCCATGAGAGTAAGCCCTATATCACTTTCTTGTCAGAAAACATTGTTACATACGATGGCCTTTCTTTTTTGTTGTTTTCTCGTACGCTCTTCACTTTCATGGCTTGGAATAGATGAATTCATTGCTTGAATCTCAAAAATCGGGTAAGAAAGACAGAACCTTGGAAAATTTTGATCCAGATGCTAGAAGGGAGAGTCCTTGGGACACTCTGCTGGAATCTATGTTGAGAAGCATTGTTAGAAAAGGTGAGCCACAGGAGCTGCCTTTGTTTGATTTTTATAGCGTAGCAATTGTTACCAACAACTTCAGCATGGCTAATAAACTTGGGCAAAGGAGGATATGGGCCAGTTTATAAGGTGAGTAATAATATATGTCTTTTTTCAAAGAGTGCTTTATAATTCTACAAAGGTAACTAGACAGCACAGCTTGATGAATTTGTGCTTTTTGTTAGGGAAAGCCACATGATGAAACAGATATAGCAGTCAAGAGACTCTCTAGTAGCTCAGGACAAGGCATAGAAGAGTTCAAGAACGAAGTCGGGTCGATTTTGAAACTACAACACAGAAATATTGTCAGGCTAGTTGGTTGCTGTGTTGAAGCTGAAGAAAGGATACTAATTTATGAATTCCTGGCCAACAAAAAACGTGAATAATTATCTGTTTGGCAGGTTCCGTTGAGAAATTTTCTTTTCTCCCTTGGTTGCATCACATCACATCTCATCATATCATTTTCTTAACCATAAAGTTTCCAGCTTTACACCTTCTTCCCTATCCTTCACCATCTCCATCACAGTTACTCTTTTCCCTTGTTAGATATCTGTTATTCCCTAACGCCATGCCTATCATCAATGTTGCCCCTCGGCACCACCAGCGTGAGGGTCTCGTGCTCAAGGACCCTGGACCTGCTGGGTTTGCTTTCATTTTTTGTCTGGCTTTGTCAAATGGAAATTCTGAGGTGAGTAATCAATAGCCGTTAGCCAAGAACAAGATTTTTACTCTCTCTGTTTGTGGTTTTGAGATTCATAGGTTTTGCATGATATTGTTTGAAAGCTACATTTTTTTCAATAAATAAAGCTCTAGTGATGAGAAATTTCAGGATTTGCTTTAATTATCTTAAGTGGCCTTCTTTAATATAGTAGGGAAACCGGAATTTATCAGGTCATTTATGCAACTAGGAATGAAGAAATCTGCTTCTGGGTTTGTGCGTGTGTGAAATCTATATGAATTCCTGTGAATTCCAGTGATCGATAGCCATGGAGTAAAATAAGGCATGGAAACTTGAAAGGGTCTGTTTAGGCAGGCTTCTTGAAAAGTTTCTACATTTTCTTGTTAGAATATACATTTTTTAGGCTTGAAGCGTTATGTGGTTCAGTGATGAACTGAGGAAATGTAATCATTTTACAAGGTATTTACATGAAAAAAATACTCTTTTTTTGTAATAAAAAAATTTTAGGCAACAAAAATAAAAATTATGGATTTTAAAATATTATTTTATATGACATTTACATGAAAACAATATTTTTTTAAAATAATGTTTTTACAAAATTTAAAAAAGAATTTGTTCACATACAACTTGTACTATCTTTTCTTTAAAAATATAAACAGAAAACAAGATAATATGTTCATATAATTCACTAAAAGATACTTTATAATATAATTTCTAATAAAACAAAACGCAATATTCATTAAACAAAAATTCTAAATGTGAGCCCATCTAAAAGCATTTCCACTTTTTTTACTTTATACAATAAACTTGTACGAAACCCAAAAAAAAAAAAAAAAAGGGAAAAGTTTTCACATCAAAGAGCTTAGCAAAAAGATACTAAAATCTTAAATTCCTTTGCTAGACTCAATTTTTTCGGCCTTTTCTGTCATCTTTTTTGTCATTAAAAATAATTTAATATTCTGAACGAAGTTGGTTACATTATTAAATGAAGTTGACATGAGTTGACGGAAGTAATAAACGAGCAGAAATTAAGGGGGCCGTTTGGTTCAATTTGTAAATGTTTCAGTTTTTCGGTATTATTTATATTTATAAATTTAAATTTTTTATAAAAATTTATATTTTTAAATATTTTTTTAATTTTAAAAAATTTTTAAATAATAAAAAATTTTAAATTTTAAATTTAAGGATTTCATAAAATTTTTTTACTCATTTTTTTATTTTTAAAAATCACTTTTAAATTTATTTTCAATAAAAATTTAAATTTATCACTTGTTAATAGTAAAAAAAATAAAAACTTTAACGAGCTGCGCCAAATAAAGTAAAAATTGAGTGATTAAGTTTATAAAATTTAAAAAAGAGAGTAATTAAATATAAAATTATGATAAATATAAGTGATTATTCATACAATTTACCCTTTACCATATTTACCCGCACTCTCATCGAGTTACATGCATCTCCATCAGACGCAAGCTCCGCAACGAGCGGCTAGCTTGCAAGTCTACTTTTTTAAGTCTATATCTGATTTCTCTTTCTAAGATGAGCCCTGGTGGGCCAACGTTTTGCTTGGTAGCTTACTATGCGTCACCACTCGAACCAGTGGTCCCTTTTCCAGTTTCCCCTAACGGGCGGCAAGCTTGCAAGTCTGCTTTTTTAAGTCTATATCTGATTTCCCTTTCTAAGACGAGCCCACTATAGCCCCGCTGGGTCAACATTTCGACTTGGTAGCTTACTATGCGTCACCACTCGACCCAGCGGTCCCTTTTCCAGATCCCCCTAACAGGGCGGCAAGCAATGTTTTCAAAACCGGACCGGTCATTGAACCGTTTTCAGGTCCGGTTCCCGGTTTGA